TTTTTGTATATCTGCCGAGTTGAGTCCCTGTTCTGCACTCTGGGTTCACTCCTAACCGCAAACCATGACAGGTGGCTCCTGATCACTCCTCCTGCCTGGAGGAGAGCATTGTCCCTCCACGGCAGTTTCCACAGACGACCCGATAACAGACATCGCAGGATTGGAAACCACGGGGCACTCACGTGCTCGGGGGCTATCAGAATGGCAGACAGTTCTTCCTCCTGAACTTGGCTAAGAAACCGTGATATTAGAGGGACGGGGGGGAAGCGTAAAGGAGCATTTCGGGCCACGGGCTGTGGGCAAACGCATCCACTCCTAACAGTGGATCGTCCCGTGGGCTCAGTGAGAACCATAGTTGGCACTGGGCGTTCTCCCGCGTGACAAATAAGTCCACTTCTGCTCTGCCAAATTTCTTCCAGATCTGAGAAATCAGCTCGGGATGGAGGCTCCAGTCCCCGTGGCGCGGACCGCCCCTGGACATTATGTCCGCTCCTCTGTTCAGAACGCTGGGGATGTACACTGCTTTGATGGAGAGCAGGTTTTCGTGTGCCCGACACAGCAGCTGTCTCACAATGTGTAACATTTGGGCTGAGCGCACGCCCCCCCTGCCAGTTTATGTAAGCTGCAGTCACCTTGTTATATGTGTGGATCAGAACATGCTGATTATGCAGATAATGTGTTGAATCACATTCAAAACCGTGCGACATTCCAAAATATTTATGTGAGCTGATGTGTGAGCTGGCCACAGCGCCCCCACTGCTCGTGACAGGCACGTTCCTCCCCAACCTGACAGGGACGCGTCTGTGAAAACTGAGATATGTGACGTAGGTCTGCTGATAGGGACTCCCTACGACAGCATGAGAGGATTTCCCCAATGTTTCAGGTCAGTTCCCACGGAGGGGGGCACAGAAATCCTCCGCCTCTTCTGCCTTACCAGGTCTATGCGCAGACGAGCGAACCATCTCTGGAGACGTCTCATGTGAAATAGGCCCAGCGGGACCACCGCGTGAGCTGATGACATTGTTCCCAATAGTTTCATGATGGAGACAGCTGTCACTACTCTGCCGGGTTTTACGTGGCGGAGCTGGTTTTTTAGAGTTTTGGCTCTCGTTTGTGATAAACTGGCCCACATAGTGACAGAGTTTAGCTCCACTCCCAGATTAACGATCATCTGGGCCGGGAGAATCGAGCTGTTCTCCCAGTTTATGGCAAAGCCAAGATTTAACAGCTGTGACGTCAGCGCTTTGGTTTGCGCCACTGCTTCCTGCCTGGATCGGGTCAGCAACAGCAGATCATCCAGGTAAAACAGAATTCTCATCCTTGCTCTGTGTAGCAGCTGCAGGGCCGTCTCCATGCATTTTGAAAACGTGCGTGGTGCGAGGGAGTAACCGAACAGAAGTTTCTTGTATTGGTACTGGATCCCTTGGAAGGAGAAGTGCAGGAACTCTCTGTGCTTTGGAATGATTGGAATGTGAAAATAAGCGTCTTTGAGATCGATGGAGGTAAACAGTCATTCTGGTGAATGTTGTTCAACAGCTGTCTGGTTGTCAACATGTGAAACTGTCTCTCCAAAATCGACTTGTTGAAAACGGATAAATCTAAGATGGGTCTCATCCCACCGGTCCATTTCGGAACCAGGAAGTAACGAGAGTAAAACCCTGGGTTTTCCTCTCCATTGGGAACCCTGGAAATTACATTTTTTACCAGTAGTTCCTGAACTTCTGCATGAAGGGATGAGATCTGTTCTGAAGATGACAGAACCATCTCTATAATACCTATGAACGGTGGGGGTTGAGCTGTGAACTGCAGCGTGTAACCCTTGCTGATAAGACGGTTCATTCAGTTGTTCAGGGAGCACACTCAATGCCACTCCGTGTAACGCTCTGGGAGCGGGCATGAGTTTTTGTGTTGTGTTATGTCTTTTACGGACGCCAGCCAAGTCAAAGCCTCTGTGCCACTGCCGGGCTGCAGGCTCACATCAGAACTGATGTGAGCTGACATGCGCTGAGGGGAGGCGTGCGCGCCCTCAGCCATGCGACGTAGTTTGGGTGGGGGCAGTCGCCGCCGCGGGGATACGCGTTTGTCTCCGCTGCGGTCAGAAAGGGCAGAACACACCCTGGGCTGAGAACGAAATTTTCTCCTGGACTCGGTATGCCGAAAAAATTCATTTTTTGCTGCTGTGTCCAGTGGGCATTGTGTGTGTTTTCTCGAGCTGCAGTGACTTTTTAAAAACCTGTTTGAGGACACCAGCTCATTTTGTGTGGAGGATGTGTGCAGAGAAGCCGCTGTGAGATCATTCGAACTGACAGTCAGGCTGAAATCAGACACTTTATTCACTGAATTATGTTTTTGTTTCATTTCAAAACTCAAGTCATCATTATGCATACACACATCCTCCGCAATGAGTCATTTCTTAAATCTTCTCCCCTGTGAGCCCTGAGGCTGGTTGTTCCAGGGCGGTGCCTGTTGGCGGTCTCTGGGGAGACGCTGGGCCGCTGGTTGCTGGGATGAGAAGGGCTGTTCTCTGGCGGGAGGACGTTGCTGCAGTGTCTCTGCTGCTGTCTCTGGCCATGACGATCCCTCCAGCGGACGGGGGGGTGGGAGGAGGAGTGCGGCTTCATCAGGTGGAGCACAGTCTTTGACACCTCCTCCGACTTCTTCGATTTTTCGAGCATGGCCTTGAAATTGGCTCCGAACAGCGCGTCCGTCGTGATGGGGCCCTCCAGCAGGTCTTTCTGCAGTTTCTCCAACAGGGAGGGGGAGTGTTGGAGCCAAGTGGACTGCTGGATCATTGTCATCCAGGCGGCGATGCGAGACAGTCAGACAGCAGAGGAGGCGCACAGGTTGAGGATGATGTCCGATGCCTTGCAGAGTGAGCTCTTTGTCTCCTCAGGCAGGTCTGTTTCCTCTAGCCTCTTCGAGATGCTGTAGGCCAGCAGAGCGACATTGGTGTTCGCTGCGGCCGCCTGGAATGCACACTGGTGAGCTTGGTTGGAGAGTGACGTCACCGTCTGGTCGTGTTTCCCTAGAGGAACTGGACGCTGGTCCAACCTGGACACTTTTGCTTCAAGAGTTTCCGCCAGGCTTGGCTCCGGGGGGGTACAGAGGGAAAATTCCGCTCAGTAAACCCGTCCACTCTGGTGATGGGCGCGAAGGTGGAGACGGGAGCTCTCAATTTACCAGGTCCAGCCGCGGCCTCGTTCCAGTAGGACGTCACTGCTGGGAAACGAGGCCAGATGTGGTCAGGGCGGCGAGCCGGGGTGGAGCCAAACCTTCCCGCTAGATCATCCGATCTGGGCGGGGGGAGGAAAGGGATGGAAAGTCCCTTCGTGTCAGATGCCTCCTGGATTTTGCCAGGCAGCTCCGAGAGGAGGGCACCAACGGCTGGGAGCGGTGTGGTCGCTGATGCAGAAAGGCCCGGGAGGGGTGAGCATCTGCTCTGCCCCTCCCGTTCCAACACTACGCTCTCTGGGAGGGAATGAGTAGTGGGGCTGCTGCTGACGTTGCCTGCCCCGGAGGAACCATCCGATTCGCTCCGAGACCCGGCGTCAAAAAAATCAATGGCATCGTCCAGCGAGCAGTCCCCCGCCACGGAGAGGCACTCCTCGACGTTAGCCTTAAACAAGACTGCTCGCCTCTGCCTCTCCTCAGGGGGGAGGAGGTCACAGAGGCGGCAGGAGGAGGCAAGGTTGGCGTGGCGGGGACCTAGGCATCCTTCGCAGGTGTTGTGCCGGTCGAAGCTCAGCATGTAGCCGGTCTTGCAGGATGGGCACAGGTGGATGGTGTTGGTGCTGGACATCATGTTGTTGGAAGATCAGTGCTAGTTGCTTGCTGAAGAAAAATGGGAGCCGATTACCCACTCTCAACGTAATTTATACAGACCGGGTGGGGCCCACACGGCAGGTGGGCGTGGACGAAATTTTTCAGTGTGACGCTTTGTGTGACGGGATAAAGCCCACAAGCAACAGCCTTAAAGGGCAAAGCCTATACGAAATAGAACTGGGGTTTTTTTCCCACTTTGGAGTAAGCTGTTGGGGGAGAAGTAGTTTTGTTTGGTGTTTCCTCAGAGTGATGAAGACCTCTGGATGGAAGGTGAAACGTCTCAGCACAAAAAAAAAAAAACAAAGTCCAGATGATCTGACTGAACAATCTTGGATTTTATTCCTGGATTATTGAGCTTGCACTTTGGAGAACAGTTTTTGTTGTGGCCCAGTAAAACTGATGCCATACTGAAGATGTGATCAGTCAATTCTTTCAGGCTGTTTAAACAAATCCAGTTGACTGACTATCCTGTTAATTATCTCATTATTGCAAAGATTATTTTAGGTTGTCTCCTTAATTGTCTTGTTTTCTGGATTATCTTATCTAAACTGAACTTTCTGACATCAGGACAAGCTGAAGATTAGCAGCACGTCATCGACCGTCATCCCTTGTCAGATTACCAGTCCCCCCAGTCCCCCGAGCGCCCCAACCCCCCCACCCCCCCCCCCCCCCCCCTCCCCCCATCTTATCAGTCTATCAGATCCTCTTGTGACAGATGCATGTGTTAGCGTGACTCTGAACAGGGAAGCCCTGCTATAAATACAAACGTGTCAGAGTCTCTAACAGGCTCATCACACCAGGGAAGCGGGTCAAGTTAAATCTAAACATAACCCGTCCTCTGATACCCATCATTCTTTAAATCCAAGTTGTTTCTTCTTAAACTGCAGTAAAAGTGATGCTGTGAATATTTAAAGCTCAGTCGTGTTTGGTATATTGACCCAGTAGAATATCTTGATGCATGCTCAATAATCCAGGTAGAAAAATCCAAAAAAGTTCAATCTGGTCCTCTGGACATTCAAAAAAACAAAAGCAAAACAAATTAAAAAAAATTCTAGAAACGTTTCGTCTCTCATCCGAGAGACTTCCTCAGTCTGAGGTGCTGTTTTCAGCTCAGTCTCTTAAATAGCACCTTCTTAGAGTGGATCAACCAGTTTGCTGCTGACAACCAAAACCAGCTGATCACATGCTCAAGAAGGACCATCAGCCTAACAATGGGTCATTAGCACACTGATGGCTGTTTACTACTCACAGAGGGCTGAGTGATACTAGCAATCACAGCATTGTAAGAG